CGCCACTCGCGTCCTCGACGTTGGCCCCTCACCCGAACAGGCCGAGGCCGGTGCCGAGTTCCGAGAACTCTGGGGTGAAAAGGCCGAGCTGAGGAGATTCAAAGACGGAAGCATAGCGGAAAGTATCGTCTGGGATGTGTCCAGACCGGAGGATGCGGCTCTGATACCTATCAGGATCGTTCATCACATCCTGCAACGGCACTATTCTGTCTCTGAGCAAAAGGCGGAATCATTCTCCACCTCTCAAGAGTGGTTGAGCGTCATTCAACAACCCCCAAGCGCCCGAGATGCCGTCAGCGTCAAGGGTTCCGAGAAGCTCGGTTTCAGACCTACAATCACGGCCTACGATGCTCTTTACAAAATCTTGAAGGACAGCGACTCGGATTTGCCCCTGGGTCTGCTCAATATCCAGTCCGCTTCTCCACTTATGCGATACTCTTCGACGTTTGTCCCACATCCTATCGACGTCCCTCGCCTGCCCTCCGCCCCTGCTTGTATCAGATACACGCCGCATATCGAAGTCATAATTCAATTTGAGTCTTCGCCAAAGTGGCCTGATGATCTTGCCGCGGTGCAAAAGGTCAAGCTAGCTTTGCTCGAAAAGCTTGCCCGAGTTGTGCAAAAGAAGCTCGGTCGAGAAGCATCGGTGGGTATCGCGTTCGACGATGGCGCCAGTGAGATTGAGGATCAGGCTGCACTAGAAGTTGTCGTGCCGGAAGGTGTGGCTTTCAAGTTGAGGGTCTACTATGAGCGAGAAAAGGGTCTCTTGGAACGCGCGATTGAGGACGACCAACCCGCTTTCGCCACCTCCCTTCCCGATCCCCCGAAACGTCTTGCCGTCCCCGCGCTTGCCAAACACATTGAACGCTTCCACCACCTCCCAGCCCATCATTCCTCTCTCGCCCCCTTGCATCACCGCTATCCCAACTTTTCTTCATCAACCCGGTTGCTGAAGCGCTGGTTCAGTGCTCATATGATGATGGGTCGGGAGCTTGTGCGGGAGGAGGTGATCGAGCTCATCATGGCCGGGATCTATCTCGAGCCTGGAAGGGGGAAAACGCCCGCTTCTGCTGTCGCTGGCTTTTTGCGCGCGATGGAGCTGCTAGGAGGGTGGGATTTCAAGTCGGAACCCATGTTTGTCCCCATCCACACTGCCTCATCTCCGTCAGCTATCTCTGCATCTGGCCGTGTCCGCTTCCCCACCGAACTCAAGGAAGGTGCAGTCAAAGCTTTCGAGTCTTTGCGTGCCAAGGAGAAGGATGCTGGACACCCGTGGGTGATCTGTACGGAGCAGGATGTAGAGGGATTGAGGTGGACGAAGGGGCTCGGTAAAGGTGTAGCTGCTCGGGTTGCTTTGTTGGCCAGGGCGACACTGGAAGCAGCCAAGAGTGGCGTCGAGTCTGGAGCGCTGGATGTGAGGGTAAGTATCTCGTGTCAATTAGTAACGCTTTGCTAACGTATCATAGTCCTTGTTTGTGACACCTGTTGAACACTTCGACTTTTTGATCCACCTCAACCCCACCCACCTTCCTCGCTCTGCCCTCGCCATTCATCCCGACCCGTCTCTCTGGGAGCCACACCTCAAGTTCCGCAACCTCTCCTCGTCTGGCGAAGAGTCTGTCCGGGTGGACTTTGATCCTGCCACGATGTTTGTCAACGACTTGCGAAGGGTCTATGGCGAAAGCTTGATGGTGTTCCATGATATCTACGGCGGAAAGGTGGTCGGCGGTGTCTGGAATGCCAAGCAGGGGCCGAGAGGGATGAAGGCGTTCTTGGGATGGAATAGCAAGCCGGTAGAGAGCGGCGCAGAATTAGTAGAAGTGAACAAGGAGGGGATCTTGGGGGAGATTGCGAGGTTGGGCAAGGGATTGGTGGAGAAGATTGAGGTAAGATGATGCGTTTCTGTAGGATTCGCGGGCTTGATGCATCTGTAGACATCTGTCGGTTGTTACAATTACATTCCATACAAGGTGTATCCAGTCTCTTTTCGTTATCAATCAGGCAAACTATACGAGCATCAGCAAAGTACGTGGCATGAATGACAGAGGACGCACCGTGGCAAGGTAGCTCTCGGCGACAATTCGCGCTCGAGCATTCAACGACAGCTTCATCTCTGAGATTTCCTTGTCGACGTCCTCCATGAACTGAATGATGAAATCAACAAGCTTGTGCTTGAGCATGGACTCGGAGTGGAAGTTGGTGATCAGGAATGAGATATCGTAGCCCTGCACTCGGGATTAGCCTTGTCACCTCCAGGGACACAATCCTGCTCACGGGTAACGGCTTCCTCCTCAGAATGACAAACCCCTCGGCCCTCATCATCATAAACCTCGTAAACTTGTGACACAGGATCTTCTCAATCTCATCTGCCTGCTTGATCGCAATAGACAGCCTGATCGAGTTGACACTCGGCTCGATCAAGACCCGCTCGCTCTCATTCCTGGATATGGTTAATGGGTGAAGAAGGACCTCTGGGGTTGACTGGCATTCGACCTCGGGCTTGTTGTGTCGTTCTACCACCTGCGAGGAGAAGTTCTCGAGGGTGAGGGCTGCGGTGAGGGTTGCGCGGACGGCGTTGAGGTAGGGGCGGAGGGTGTTTGACTGGGCGGGGTCAGCGGGGCGGCGTGGAGGGGGCAGTACTGACCATGTTGGGTGATGCTGGAGCAAGTGAAAGAGTTGAATAGAAAGCGCGTCATCAATGCCACATCGACAATCACCGCAAACCACCGCTCTATCTCGCAGCGGCGCCCCCCGCCCAGCCACGTGGTGAATTTTTGAGGAGTGGAGGCGAGTGTTTTCATCGTCTGCAGATTTCAGAAACAAGATTCTCCATCTCACTTTCCATTCGCATCTCTTCTCCCACAAATATATATCCACTCAAAATGTCTATCAAGATGAATCTCTGGGTGAGTGTACTGTACGCTGTGCTGTGAGAGCCCGCTGACGACGTTCCAGAGCTTGACTCTTCTCCCCGGAGAGGCCCAGCCCGTCTACGTCCGACGAGACTTCCAGATCACCAACGCCGCTCTCGGCGAGGAGCTCCGATCCACCGACGGCCGGTCTGTCGTCAAGGTCACCCACAGCCCCATTGACCCCGCCATGTTCGACTCTGACTCCGAGTTTGACTCTGACTTTGACGGCGAGATCGACTCTGACGATGAGGACGATGACGAGGACATGGAGGAGGACGAAGAGGAGAAGCCCGCCAAGAAGGAGAAGAAGGCCGCTGCTGCCGAGGAGGAGGACGACGAGGATGAGGACTCTGAGGAGGACTCTGACTTTGAGGACGAGCTCAACGAGACCAACGTTCTCTGTTCTCTCACTGCCGGCAAGGTGAGTACACTCTACGTGATCTGTGTGCGTCGCCTGACATGCTATAGACCGAGCAAGCTTCTCTCAACCTTACCTTTGTCCGTGGCGAGGTCGCCATCTTCGAGGTTACCGGCGAGAAGTGAGTACCTCTGTGCTTGCGCGCCACATTTCACTCAACTGACCGTTTACTCAGCGCCGTCCACCTCATGGGCAACTACATCAACCAGGACGAGTACGACTCTGACGACTCTGACTTTGAGGGCGACGATGACTACTCTGACATCTACGACTCTGAGGACTTGATCGAGTCTGACGACGAGGAGCCCACTGCGTGAGTCTGCGCATCTCGACGCCCAACATCCACTAACCGTCCATATAGCAAGATCACCGAGGTCGAGGAGCCCAAGCCCAAAAAGGCTGTCAAGGCTGTCGAAGCCAAGCCCGCTCAGAAGCGAAAGGCTGAGGAGCTCGAGTCCCCCGCCAAGACCGAGGCCACCGAGACCTTGAGCAAGGCCCAGAAGAAGAAGCTCGCGAAGAAGGCCAAGACCGAGGCCGAGAAGCCCGAGGAGAAGGCTGCCGCCAAGCCCGCTGCTGAGAAGAAGGCCGCCCCTGCCCCCAAGAAGGTGAGGAAGTAATCCATTGCTTCCGCGTTTGTTCCATCCTGTCATCACGAAAAAAAAAAGGGCCAGCTTGACTATACACCCTCGATATAAATGCATAGTTGTTATTTGACGACTATTCGTTTCCCGACACGCCCTCTTGCCTAAGAAATACAAAGTTCAACATACTGACGCTACCTTTAGAGGGTTCTCGCTTCTGGTTTGACCATTGAGGACATCAAGGTCGGTGACGGCCCCGCCGCCAAGTCCGGCAAGCGATGTGGCATGCGCTACATCGGCAAGCTCACCAACGGCAAGCAATTCGACGCCAACACCTCCGGGAAGCCCTTCTCCTTTGTCCTCGGTAGAGGTGAGGTCATCAAGGGTTGGGATGAGGGTCTTGCTGGTATGCAGGTCGGCGGTGAGAGGCGATTGACTGTGAGTCCCCTATATGAACATAGTAGGCCATCAAGCTGATCAAGTGACAGATCCCCCCTCAGTTGGCCTACGGTAACGCCAAGGTCGGTGGTATCCCCAAGGGGTAAGTGACTGGTTCGACTATCCTGGTCTGTTCTGACATTTGCTCAGCTCTACCCTCAAGTTTGACGTCAAGCTTGTGTCCGTCCAGTAGATGTGGTGTGTTTTCGGGGAAGGCGACGAGGCGAATAATATATCAGCTACGAGTATATAGATAATTATACCCAGTAAAATGCCACTACGATTTGTAAAGCGCGATCATCATGCTTTTTTTGGATCTCCGAACTCTATGTGACTGTATCTGAGATATCTGCGCTTAAGGTGGGACGTGCGGTAGAAGTCTTCAGGTTTGGGACAGTAGTGTTTGTGCGCCAGTCAAGCAGCGTCTTCGGTGGCCGAGATCCATCGTACTGCTGTCCTCCCTCAGAGTATGTACTCGCGCTGGACCTTCTGCACTTCGCTGCCAAAGGAAACCGACGTTTGGCCTCCGTGATCACCCTCTGGGATTCAAAAAACCGCTTCAGCTTATTTGTAGACGAAGGCTTACTGCAGGTCACTGCATACACAAAACGATATGAACAGCATTCATAAGAACTTGTGGAGCAAAAAAAATCTCCCCGGTGCGAGTCGAACGCACGACTTTCAGATGTGTGATGGTAACCAATTACAGTCTGACGCTCTAAACCACACTAAACTACGGAGAGTTGATTGTGTGCAAAACCTGTGGCACGCTATATAGCGTATAAGGGTCAGCACCCAAGTTTTTGAATCTATCGAGTTCGAGTACTTCCACATCTCTTCTCTTGGCACCTCATCTCTTAACGAAACATTCATGTAGAATTCGAGATCAGACAAAAAGCAATATGTACATCTATGCATACCTTGACACAAGTCACTGAAAATAAAACGTATCAATCAACAGTGTAATCGCATAACAACGGACATGTCCTCAGATGCTGATACCGCGACTGGAAGCAGATGGATACCCTTGCGGAGGCCTATGTACAAGACGAGAATCATCCTCTACCACCGCCCTACCCCCAACCGCCCCCCGAAAAGGCAAAGGCTGAGCCTCAAGCTTCACTCTTCCAGAACACTCCCTCGGGCCCTTGGGCCTCTGAGCCGCTGTAGGGCTAAGGCTAGCTGGCGAGCCAGCCATGATCTCTGATCGCCCGCTCTGTCTTGGATTCAAACTCTCGGGTGGGCTCTCGGGCGGCGCACAAAAGCCGACAGAAGGGTGATACACCATAGCCTCATGTATCTTGGTCCACGCGGCCACCTGCTGTACGTCATCCATCATCGGTCCCAGCTTTTCCAACTTTTCCAAGAGACGTGCGTTGCTTATGGCCTCATGGTAAATTGGGGCGGGAGAGGGGGTGGGAGGAGCCTGGTGGTGGAATTTGTTGGAAGGCGAAGTAGGAGTGGTGAGAAGGATGTCGCTGGTTGAGCTTTCGAGGCTGCTGGCGCTATTGCTCATACTGGTCCAAGGCGAAAAGGGTACGGCAAGGGTCGGAGAGGTGGTAGAAGCTTGCTGCCTTCCGCTCAAAGGGCCGGGAGTGGACCCTGACAGGCTGGGAGTGCCCGTAGGCGGGCGGTTGAACCGCGAGGCGGCTACGGCAGCACGATACATCGAAGGACTCGGGCTGGGAGACGCGATCCTGCGTCGGCAGGGTTGGTCATTGTTGCTGTAAAAGTATGAGCTAGCGGCGGATAGTTCAGAGAGGGCGGGAGAGGTTCTGGAGCGGTAGCTTGGTGGAGAAGAGACGACACTAGGAGAGGCCGCGGATTGAGGGGCATGCGTCGTCGAGATGGTAGGAATGTCGGCGACACGAAGGTGTGAGGTGCTTTGGAGGATATTTGGGCTGGAGATGGCGGAATCAATAGGTGTGTTGATGACGGGGACCGCGAGAGAGCGAGGCCTGGCTCTGAGCACTTCTGCGGTATTGTGGTGAACAGGCGGCTCGGGGCTAGCTGTGATTTGAGTCTGCTGCTGCTGAAGCTCGGGTCTGTTGACGCCACGAGGGCCGAACATAAGGTAGACTTCCGGCACGTCTTGACGCTTGTTGCTGATGGTCTTCTTGTCGCTCGCCTACAGCCATCAGCGACGCACCCACGCCCGCATGCCAAACACTCACAAGCTCGACGGCTCTCCACTCTTCAAACCCCAGACCACCCATCACCTCCAGCTCCCATTGCTCCTTGTCCAACAGTCCACTCCCCCATCTCGTCATCGCCCATGTCCTCACCCCAAGTTCATCCGGCATCTCGCGCAGCACCTTCAAGCTCGCCTGCTCATCCTCGACGCCAGAGCGATGGATTCTGAAGAGGTACTTTTGGCGCGACGCAGAGGCGAGCACATCGTTGACCAGAGCTTCTTGCGCTTCAAGCTGGTACTGGAGGTCCAAAGCTTGACGGCGGTAGTACTCTAGCTGGCTGGCTATTTTGACTTCAGACTGGCGTGCTCTGAGTTCCGGCGACTGGGGGTTGCGGGTGGACTGGGGATGGTCGACAACGGCGAAGGTGCTGGCGTTTGAGTCTGACCTTGTGAGTGGTTCTACGGGAAGGCGAGGCAGGGCCCTGGTGCTGTTGCATGGCGAGCTAGCGTTCGTAGTGGCCTCTTGAGATGCCGCACAATGATAGTCGATCTCGTCGGTAGTGCCCACGAGGATCTCCATCGACGTATCGCCTTGATCAAAGAAGCCCTGGCAGCTCTTGTCAGAGGCAGCTTCTCGAAATGTGTGATCCTATGCTCATGTCAACCTTTGAGACTCTACCGATTGCGCGAAAATCACTCACCATCAGCTTCTCATAATCATAATCCCCTCTGAAACGTCCTTCACAGACGCGCATCCGCAAAGGTATATCACTCTTCAGTTGGTGCTTGAGCTCGTGCTCGTGCTTGACATCGTCGCTCATGACAGGCACAAGTATTCCGGAGTCAGTAAAAGAGAGGTAGAAGTGGACACGCTCGCCGGCATGGAGCGCGTGGAGGTATGTGATATTGAAGGTATAGCGGTGTCCGGAAGCGGAGTCAGTCATGGTGGATGTTTTGGTGGTGACTAAGAGATGAGAATGAAATGGAAGATGCAAGGCAACTTGTATGGCAGAGCTGGAGGTGGATAGACGAGTAGCGGATGTGAGTGACAGTTGTGTTTCCGATGCTTCGGGTGTTTGGCGGTTATGATCGTCAGTTCTTTCGTCATGGGTACCTTGGGTCTCATGGGATGATAAGGCAAGCGTATAGCCTGCTGGATGTATATCGTCTTGTAGAAAGATGCCAGATGGAAGAGAAGAAGAGCGGCGGCGTGCAGCTGTTGTGCCTGGGTTATGAGTTGTCCTGAGATTGCAACTTTGGGGTGGAGCTCGCGATGCGTCGCACTAAATAATCGCGCAACCTTGTTCTCGTCATCGCCGTCTCCTTCCCGCACCTGTTGGGTTCGTGATATGCTCGATCGGACGAATGATATCAGATATACGGCACAGATTAGCGTACGTACGAAAAGAGGCCAGCGGGGGCAGCGGAAGGCGGCGAGGAGGGTAGCAACAAGCTCAGCAGGCAAGACAGATCAGCATCAGACACTCGGCGTCATGTCATCTACTTTGGACGAGATGCATATATATGCAGATCCTCCATTTATATCCCCCTTCCTGATCATGACAGCCACTGCCACAACTAGAGATACATCAAAGGTCTTTCCACCAGGAAGAACTGCAAACGAGATACCGCGTTCAGCGACATCTCCCGAGAACAGCACTAGGCTAGGGTAGAACGTCCCTGTCCATCAGTCAGGACAGTAAGTCATCGTCTTTGCCGATATCACGATTATGTACATATATAGGCAAATATTGACAGCCCCTCCCAGACAGCGCTCTGCTTTTTGCCACTTCACCTGCCCTCTGCCCGCTGCACGCGCCCAGCCCGAAGCCAGCTCCCTTTCTCGGCCACCAGTCAAACGCAGTGCCCTTCCCTACCCTCGCCTATTTCTCTGCGCACCGTCCCCCTAAACCCACAACAGCCTTTCTGTGCACGGAACTTTTTTAACAATGCACGACTCTCGCCGCAACTCCCATTCGGCGTATACTCGCGATTGGAAGAATAGCGTACATCAAGGAGGAGGCATGGCCAGCAAGGACCATCCGTACTCGCACGACGAGTCAGGAAGAAGAGGTGAGTCTGCTACAGTGCCCGGAGACAAGAGACTGAGCCTTGGCGCAGAGTCCAACGGAACGTATATACCGCCGCCTCCCAAGAAAAGTCTCTTCAAGAGAATGTTTGGCTGCACCTGCGTGAGTCTGTTTTTTTCCCGCCATCTGATCAGGTCTGACGATCCTTCTCCAGTTTGAACTAGACGAGTGCGTAGACGATAAGGATCATCTTGACACAAACTGACTCACTACAGCCATCAAGACCCCGTCAGACGATACCGTCCCAACAACGACACCACTTCCCACCAATCCCCCCCACCGCCATCCTACACTCATGCCGACCCATTTCCCATAAATACTAGCCTCCACCCCTTGGGCTCGCACCACCGCGCCACCGACTCGACGGCGTCAGTCAGTACCACATTGACTGAACCCGCTCTTTCGAATATGCTCTTCATCCCGAGGCACGAGGACGAGGCGTTCAAGACGTATGCTCCGCCGAATGGGTCTTTTGCTGGGGGCACGACGGGCGGTGCTGGCGCGGGAGGTGGCTGAGCCGCCCCAGAGTTGTGTCTTGATGAATGCAGAGTGGGGAGGGTGGGGAAACAAAGTGCCCGGGGCAGGCTTGTATACCTGCAGGACACACGAACCTTCGGAATGATAATCACAAGTGTATCTCAGTATTTGACGAATCTCTGTATAATGATCTTGTAGGGAGGCGACATATGGCGGGATGTGTATAGGCGATAATACCCAGAAATGCATATAGCATAACGATCGCATGCTGTGCCGTGGCTGCTCCCCCTTCCCCCTTTGTCCTTCGGGGAGTGCTGACAAGAGGAGCTTAGGGGTCCAAAGCACAAGTCAAGAGCTCGTCTCGTCTAGCAACGCCCATACGACCTCAGCCGCTAGTCAACCCTTTTGTCGCAATGTCGGAAAAAGTTCGGCCTGCATCTCGAGCAGAAACAACTGGAGCTGGAGGCTGAGTGGTGGAGGGGAGTACCGCGTCCGCCAGGCGAGGATGCAGCCGATGGGTGATGACATGATGGTGAGAGTAGGCGGGCGGGTGGGTCAGGTGGGACTGGAAATAGGTGATTGTGGTGGGTGGCCGCCGTGTCAGAGATCGGGATTACATCTAGCTGTTGTACGTATCAAGACCCTATGTATCTGCACATATATCTGTGCTACATATCAGGATCCACTTAAGTCAACATTGCTGTCCCTGTAGAGCGACAGCTCATGCTTTGTGGAATGAGGCGATGAGCACGAAGTATACGTGATGATGAGGGATGATCATCGTTTCACCTGGCCGGTACGACACGGCCTCGTGGCAGCTCCGTCTATGCTGAATCTCAAACGTTGCAGTGCTATGCATGCCTGTACATACAAGCGCCGAGATGATCACTCATCGCAAACATCACTCATCAGATCTGCTCGCTCTCTGGTGCAAGCACCAAGGGAAGAGAACAAGAAGCCACCATCGATGCTGACATGATTGATGATGGTCAAGGCGGTGAGGATGGAGAAACGCACAAGTCGAAAAGAGAGGGATGCTTGT